GCCCCAAACAACCTAAAATAGTGATCCTTTGCACTTTGGCTCAACCTTGGTCCCTTGATGGCCTAACTCAAAGCCCAAACTTGTTCCAAAACTTCCATATAATGATGAAACTAACATAATTAGGTAGTAGTGAAATCATTTAAGGCCATACATGAGTCCAATAAGTCATTAAAATTAAGCAAATCCATTATACATAAAAAAAAAATATGGCCTTAAGGCCTTACATGAGTATTGAAATCATAATGAAACCACTAAATACAAGAGAATGGTCTCAAGACCATTTCTAACCATGTAGAAGATACAAAATGGCTCCTAATATCATTTAGGGTTAATTACATTCACATCCCCTGAGGTTTGCTCTATTGACAACCATATGAAAGTTGGCCTCTTTTTGAACAATGACACCCCCTGATCATAATTTGAATCCAAACAGACCCTTAAACATTGGGAAAAGACAAGTTTGTCCTTCAATATTTAAGTTATCTTAATAATAAAAATTAAAAATATCCCAAATTATAAAATGACTATTTTGTCCAATGATTTTCATACGTACGCACTCCTCATCTTCATCTCTCTCTGTGCCGACACCATTTTTCAACCATGGCTGCCACTATCATCTTTCAACCACGGCTGCTGCCATCATCTCTCCTCACCGACCGCCACAACCACCGTCTCGTTGGATTGTTCCACCTTTTACCACCGTTACCCATCATCACCACCATCCACAATTAGGGCTACAACCACCCCCAAATTATGCTACTTCCCTCTCTTTCGCACACATATATATAGATATATATATATACATAGACAATTGAAATCAATCGTTTCTTATCTCTCTTGGACAGAGACACAAAGTCACGCACACACATATATATATATATATAGACCAGGGACAATTGAAATCGATTCTTCCTTATTTTGCGAACACACATTTATCTATACATACACAGATAATTACGCATTTTCTGTCTCTTGCACACAGTCATAGAGATACATATTCACAAACGTGCACACATAACCTCACCCATATCACCCCCACAGAATTTGGGGTTTTGTAATTTCTCCATCAAAACGAACACAAAATTGAAATTGCCACCACCGTAACCACATCTCTAAACGTAAACGAGCCACTGCCGACGATGATAACGATGACTCAACTTTCCTTTCCCGACACCACCGCTCGATGCCATAGATGACAGCATCGACCTCTCCCTCGTTAAAGCTTTTGACAGATCCCAAAACGCCATTGATTGTTGGTGTCTTGCACCATGACACCATTGACGTCGTCAGATTGCTCCACCTCTTACCAACACTCCCAACCGCAACCACCACCACTCATCACCACCAATGTGGAGTATCTGTTCAACCTTGAAGATGATGATGAGAGGTTTGGGTTGTGTACTTATTTTTGTGAGTTGTGTATTTAATGGTGGGTGGTGGTTGTAGGGGTGGAGGTTGCGGTGGTAAGTGGAGAGAGAGAGAGAGAGAGAGAGAAAGGTGGGTGGGAGGTTGGGGGATTGGGCGTGGCAGCAGAGTGGAGGAGCGCAGTGGGATTGGGCAAGGCGGCGGCAGTTGAGACAGTGATGCAGGGGGGAGAATGATGGTAATTTGACTATTTAAAAGGGTAGTTTGGTCCAATAAAATGAATGGTAAAGGATAAAAATATAATTCCATAATATGATAGGTCAATTAATAAGTCAAAGGGTAGTAATGTCAATTCATTACATTAGGGGTGTCTTTGTTAACTTTATTAAACCTGAGGGGTCGTTATTGTTCAAAAAGGGACTATCTTTCACCTGGTTGTCAATAGGACAAACTTTAAGGGGTGTGATTGTAATTAACCCTATCATTTACAGCAAAATGGGTTAATATACACATCGAGTACAAAAGATCCAAGTCCGTCAACCGACTAAGCAGGTGGTGGATTGTCGTCCGCCACTTCTTTACCGTGCCTTGAAAAATGTTAAATATAATGGGGTAAACAAATTGCTCAGTAGGTGGTGCCTAAGGCACATCTCTTGTAGCCCCATGAATCTAAATAATGAATAGAAATAGAGGATAGGGGTCATGCTATGCCGGAAAGGAATACAACATAAATTTCAATTTCAGAATAAACAATGTCGTGCCATGATATGCAATGTCATGTATGTCGCTCACCATTTTCAAAATCCAATTCCATCCATTTTTCAAACTGTTAATATAGCCCGTCTGTTGGTGACTTCACAGCGACACGAGAGAAGGATTGGCTACTGTTCCTGACCGTTGGTACTTCCGTAGCGTTATTTGGGACCTAGATAGCTCAACCACGCTAGGGTACTCTCCCTAGTTCCCTCTAGGCTATATTGACACCACGGCCCTTTGGTGACTTCGCGACGACCGAGTTTTCTCAAAATCATTTAATCAAACTTCTTTCCCAAAAATCCCTTTCTCATTTATACAAAAATCATTTCCCCTCATTCATGCCCCATAATATGCATGTATGTCTCATGTATTCAATGCTAGGGCAATAAGAGATTTCATATTCCACAAATAGCATGCTTTACAATAATTCTAAGAAATTTACATATGCTTCTATATATCATTTCTAGCAATTTGTCAACACAATAACATAGATAATTCAACATTTAGGCATACTTTTCATACAAATCAACAATTACACATAATTGCATGCTTCATATACAAAAATCAAGTCATTTAAGAGTCAATTAATTCAAATCAAATATGCTTACAATTATGGTAGAAAGACTCACAAAAGTGCAAGAAAGTGAGGATTAGAGACCCCTACCTCTAAATGGATGAAAAGCCCCAAATTCTCCTCAAACCTTAGGATTTTGAGATCGCCTAAATGGTGGCCAAATGGAGATTAGCTCCGATCAACTTGTAAATCTTGCCGTGAGCTTCAATTTGCCGTAAACGGCACTTAAAAATTTCAAGAATTGAGGGAGGAATCAAGTTTTAAAGCTCTTCAAGCAAAAAAAAAGGAAAATGCAATTTTGAGAGAGTGAGAGAGAGACCTGCGGGAGAAGAGAGAAATGAGAGACCAAAAAGGTGGTCTCTAACCCTTTAAGATGGTTGTGGGTCCCACTTCATATTTCTTTTATTTTCTTTTTTCTTTTTCTTATTAATTCTCACCCTAAACTTATATATATATATATATACACACACACCACTATACAATAACCACATATAACAAATTAAATAAAATAAATATGTTGCAATTGAACCCAACCAAAATTTCCGTGAGCAATAATTCCGGTAGCGGGTCTCACACGGAACCGTCCGGCCCGAAAAATTGAAAAAATGCCTGAATGATCGCCCTTGCATTTCAAAGAGTCCTGAACTCAATGAAATGCCCCAGACATGTCTTAGACACAACCGGCACACTCCTTAGTGTCCAGTACGAAAAATGGCAAAAAGACGAAAATGCCCTTGCAACGACAAAAATTCTGAAAAAATAAAAAATGGCGAAAAATGGAAACATCACAGTTCAGGTCATGTCTAGCAGCACTTTCAGAGGATAAAAGACAGTCATTCAAAGGATTTTGTAAGAGTTTCAACTGAATGTCATGAAGCTTGGTTCTACAAATGGACACTAAAGGACTGGACTGATTCCACAACTTGATTTGTGCTTTCACACTACGCAATTTCTTTGCATCTTTGGCCTGTTCAACCCCCTAACATTCCATGATCCTATCATATATTTGGAGCAGGAGTTGGTGGAACACCACCTGCTGTGGACCTTGTTACTCGATCAGTAGCCACCACATTGGCCGTTTTATTTTTATATTTATTTTTCTTCTTCCCACCAGAGGCCATGGATGGATTCAGTTGAAGTGGAGCATTGATAGTTTCTTCTTGGGGATCCTGGGATTCTGGCAGGACCTCAATTCTTTCGGACAATTCATGGAGCACTGCAAAAGCATTAGGAGATAGGACCTGTTTCTGCAAGGCAAGTCATAGATCTCAAGCCTGCTAGAGAGCCTTTTTTAATGGATATTTGCAAAACATCACTTTCATGGACCCATTCCAGTAAATTTCACAATTTGAGGAATCTTGGCTTGAATGGTAACCAATTAGAAGGGTTGCTTCCACAAACATTGGAAAATCGCTGGCTTTTCAGAGCAGCAGAATGGCTAGTAGAAAATACTTTTTCCCTATATTTTTGATAAGTTATTTTGCATGTGTAATATTATAGAGACATAATAGATAGATGCTTTTTAGGAATGGGCGTCTATAGATCAATCAGGTGTCGGAAATTTCGATGGACAACTTCAAAGCGGGCAATCAACGAAGAGAATGGATTCCAGTGGACGTAGTTGCATTTTTAACATTCATAGTAAAAAAAAAAAATCAGTAATTGACTTTAGTAAGGGTGGGTTTGGCAACTACTAAGGCCAATCTTTGATTGGATTGTGCAGCTCTTTTTGGAACAAATATATTGCAGGGCGATTGAGTTTGGAACAAAGCCCGGTAGTGCTCAAGACAAATTGATTGAGTTGTTTAATCCTCTTCGTGCCATTGTCCGGCACAATCTTCCACCCCTGATATACACTTCCTCCTCCTCTTGAGGATCGTGGAAGCATGGAAGAATTTAGAATTTTTATCGCCATACCATAGTCAACAGAGACGAGATTTCTGCTACCAATATAGTTCTTCCTCCTCCTAGTAAGTCTGCAATATTCTTTCAACTCGAGAGATATGATGAATATTGCTTGGAATGATGGGTATAGTTAAAACATTTTAATGAAATGAAAGGAATCGGACCAAGCATGTCAACCATCCAAATTTAGACATAGGAGGCCCCTGTACCATACCTATTAGATATATCAGAGGGCCTTGTCCCATACCTAAATCTGGTGCGTGACACAAATATGGCATCCATACCATGCACAACAACATCAAATAAAGTTAAACAAAATTTCACAAGCAATAATTGTTTACAAAATCTACACCATCTATGAAATAATTGTTTAGTTGAAACCAAAAATGCCTTGAAAAACTAGCACAAACACAACCAAGGTTGTCATCTCAAGTGCATAACGCAACAAACATAGTAAGCAACACAGCAGTTGGAGATCATCTATATAAATATTAAAAACCATATAAATTATTAAACATGAGACATGGTTCCTGACTCTCTCTCTTCTTATAGTAAGAGAGACCAAACAAACACTTAATTAAGCATATAAGTTGTACTACCTCCAAAGCGACTCAGAATCAGCATTCAACCATAACCAAGGATAATTCAAACTCCTAGATAAAGCACCCTGTCCTCCCAAATTACAATGAAGCCTGAAATTCTGAGGTGCTGGATAATGTTGGAAGGCTACGCTAGGTGGTAGTGGGATGGCAAGAAATGGCAAGTAGTGATAATGACCACCAATAAATCCTAGAACCCCCACTGGATTAAAGTCTCTTCTCACACCCATAAGAGATGGAGAAGCCCTTGTCCTACACTCCCAACACTTAGCAAACTTCTCTTTCCAATGGCTCCTTCCCTGTGATCCTACCAAATTGCCAAACTGCTCCACAAACTTTTGCTTCCACAAATCATCATTCGACGACAAATAGAACAGCTCCGAACATACACATCCCACTCTACCAAGATCAATGCCGGCTAGTGACTCCAAAATCTTGCGTTTAAGGCTGGTGGGTAGGCTCATAAAGCAAGGTGGAGGTGCCAAACCAGCTTTCTCGCATAAATCAATTAGAAGAGGCAATGCAATTTTATCCTTCACAATCTTCCAAATTTTTAACACTTCTATTTCAGGGTATGTATCGGAATACAAATCCTTTCCATTTGATTCATCAAACCACCCACAATTTGCCCACACTACATTCAAGAATGGAACCAATCGGTCTTTGTCTAGGTACACTTGGTAAGACCCAGGAAATCCATAAATGTTAAGAAACTTGCCTACACTCGCAAACCTCAATACAACAGTTTCAATTCCATTCCTAGTACCTAGAATCTCAGGAAGAGTGTATGAAATCACCATCTTGAAAGAAGACGAAGGCCATTCGTTGGGATTAAACCCATCAAGAATCAATTTTGAGACAGGATCAACTCTAACGAAGCCAGACTCTAACAAAACAGCATGAACAGCAATCACCAACAGCTGATAACCACCACCATCACCAACCGCCTCTTTCCCAAACGCTTTCCTCAGAAAACAAGGTACAGACCACCGATCATCAACATCCACATACTCTGTCACAGACAAACTCAACTTTTTATCTTCCTCGGGCTTAATCTCACCATCCCCAGATTCAAAATCTAGGGTTTCACTTTTCAACACGTGTTCTTTCTGGAACTGTTTTTCTATGGACGGGGATATTTGTTGATTCCGATGGTGTTCTGAATTGGGTTTTTGAGGAGTATGGGATTGGGCAGTTAGGGTTTCTGTTTCTGAGGAAAACCAATTCGGGTTGACAGTGAAGAAGATGAGATCGCCAGAGGTGATGCCTAGAGACTGAAGAGTGCCTTCATATGAACCATGAAGCTCGTTCTTCTGATTGAGAGAAAGGTGTATGGAAGAGGAAGAGGAAGAGGAAGAAGAAATACTATGAAGAATGACATCTTTGAGGTGTTGGAGAGATATTGATGAATTGGGTACTTCAATTCTTAGGGTTTCTTTGGTTTCAAGTGATTTGAGCCTCAGTTTCATGGTGCGAATTCGAAGAGGATTTGAGAAAAACTGAAGAGAGTTTGGAAAGCTCGTCCTTCTGACCGCTATAGAGCACTTATATGCACAAGGTACTCTTAGAATCTCGGTCGACTCGGAAATCTTTTCTCAAAGAAGTGTCTATTTATAAAAGACATTGGGTTTATTCAATTGTTGATAAAAAATAAAAAAAGATAAAAAAGAAAAAATGAAGATTTTGTTTTCCTTTTTAATATTTAGAAAATAGACTTAAATCATTCACTTTTACGATTGAGCTAAATCTAAAGGGCCGGTTTGGGTGGGGCTTTTGCACTCTCAAAACAGGCTTTCAAACTTAAAATGCCCGTTTAAAAAAAGACAAATTACACAAGTTACTTAGGAGGTTTTCATCTCTTGCATTAAGATAGAAGTTGGCAGGATAAATTGGTCAACTATCCTCCTAGTTTTATTGACTTGACAGAAGACTTTGAATATGAGAGGTAAAAAGATATTTTGATAAAAATAACCTTCTTTGTTTGAAATTACTATCTTTAATGTTTAAATTATTTTAATAATAAAAATAAAAAATATATCTCAAATAGTAAAATGACAACATAGTCCACACTGATTAGGGATTTCATACCCTACTAGCCCAGACTCGCACCATCTCTCATCAACCACGGTGCCACCACCGCCACCATCTCTGTGCATCCACTACCACAGCCACCATCTCGTCGAATTGTTCCACCTCTTACCACCATTACTCATCACCACCACCGTCCACAACTAGGGCTACAACCACTCCCAAATTTTGCTTTTTCCCTTTCTCGTGCACATACATATATATACCTATACACAGAGAATTACTCATCATCACCACCACCGTCCACAACTAGGGCTGCAACCACCCCCAAATTTTGCTTTTTCCCTTTCTTGCACACACTACACACACATATATATACATATACACAGAGAATTGAAATTTCTTTTTCCCTACCCACGCTAAATTATCGGCGGCGAAGAGAAGATCAGTGTTCGCCGCTGCAATTGTCGAAACTGTTGGCATCACCGAGAAAATCTTTGTTGCCACTGCAATCGTCGATCATGCCTCTAATTTGCGAGCGGTGGTGGTGGTTTTGATTGTTGGTGGTGACAGCAGTGGTGGGTTTTGCCTCTGATCTCGTCGCTTCTGATCGACTGCAGTGGTAGTGGTTGCTTTTGATTGTTGGTGGCGACGGCAGAGGTATGGTGGGTTTCTCATGAAGGGGGCGGCAATGGTGGTAGGTGGCGTTAAGACAGAGTGGGTATGGGAGGGACAGAGATAGAGATAGAGACGAGGATAAAAACTTTATCCAATATCAATTTCTTTTATTTTTTTCGTTAAAAATAAATACTTTAATTTTAAGATAAAAATGTAAATTTATATTAATTCAGATGGTCAAACTGTCAATATAAACCTCTCTATTATATTACTATAACTTCTATCCTAAAGCAGGAGATGAAAACCTCGAGATGGTTTGTGTAATTTGCCTTTTAAAAAAATATATCTATTTGGCAAAAAAAATTTAAAGGGGCTTTGAGGAAAATTTTATCCCCTTGAAAGTCCGGGGAAAGATGTTAGGTTATTGATTACACTATTACCCTATTTTAAAATTTGAAAAACAAAGGCCAGAAGATGTTAAAGAGTTACCGAAAACCTACCAATGACTCCCAGCAAATCTCAAAGACCAATTTTTTTTACCAAAGAATCGTCTCGACTTGTAGTCATTTCTAATAACCCCATTGTCTATTTTTTTTTACCAAAAAACCTTTCTCAACTATTTAAAGGGCTAAAAGAGTTGAGATTTGGACCAAAATGCCCTTTTATTTAAATCTTAATTTTTTCGAACTTCAAAAGTTCATATATCACAAACTGTACATCCAAATATTGCAAATAATATATGCACGAAAAGCTTATAAAACAAGGATTCCAGAAATATAAGATTTGTTTAATAAAACTTCATAATCAGAGAGAAATAGACAATCTAAAAATTTACTGCAATAATCTTATTTTATTTTATTTTCTTATAAAATACTAGGGTTGTTAGCAAGAAATTTTTTAAAATTATTCATTTTCATATGAAGCATAATATATTAAAAAAATTAACCCCAATAGAGACCGGATATTCATTTTTATTTTTTATTTTTTTTTAAAATGGGGAGTCTATAAAAGAATGAAAATACTTTGACACAAAATATGATATCTCATTAAATCGATCTTTGTTGGGGCTAAATTTTTTATATATTCGGCTCCATAGGTAAATTAATAATTCTTAAAATTTTCTTGCAAATATCTCGAGTATTTTATTTGTTAGAGTAGGTTTTTAGATTGCCAATTTCTCTCTGGTTATGAAGGTTTTTTGTACAAATCTTATATTTCTGGAATCCTTATTTCATAAGCCTTTTGTGCATATATTATTTACAATTTTTAAATGTAAGATTTGTGAGATATGAATTTTTTAAGTTCGAGAGAATTAAGATTTAAATAAAATGACATCTTGGTCCAAATATTAACTTTTTAACCCCTTCAGATAGTTGAGGAAGATTCTTTGGTAAAAAAATTAGACAAGGGAGATTTATTGAAAAAGGTTACAAGTCAAGGGGGTTGTTTGATAAAAAAAATAGACAATGGAGTTTACAGGAAAAAACTATAAGTCGAGGGAGATTTTCTGTACTTTGCCCGTATATATATATAATATTTTGTAGGTTATTTGTTTGTTTTAGATATCACGTTCGCTTGATTCTAAAATTATGGTTCTATTAATGAAATTGGGTATAGAATATACTTTTGCCAATCTATTTACTGCTTTATTTTTCTTCCCTCTTAATTTTTTTTTTTTTCTCTTTCAACTTCTGTTGTTGGGTCAATCTGTGATTCTTATTCATCAATGGAAACAGTGGAAAGCATCAACATAGACATTGAAAAGCGTCAACATATACAGTGAAAGCATCAACAATTGAAGAATAAACAAAATTGATTTCCACTAATTGTTACTCCATCATAGGTGATTTCCACCCATTCCTTTAATTTTAGATTTTTTTTTTCCTTTTTCTTTTTTCTTATTATGTGGAAGGTTATTTTAGTAACTTTGGAAGTCAAAGGTGGAAGACTAAGTTTGAACCACTCATTTGGTAGGGGACTTAAGGCCAATCTTGGGCCTCATTTTTTTCATCTCTTCCGATCGCATCTCTCTCTCTCTCTCTCACACTCCATAACTTCTTTCTTTCTTTATATTTCTCTTCATTCTCTCTAGAAATTCTACAAGTTAGAGGAAGAGTTGATCATCACCATAGTTATCAAAGTTGTAGAGCTCATCAAGATCTTCCATTTGACAACAGTCTTGCAAGTTTTTCAGAGATTTCGAGATTTGAGTTCTTGGAACTTGGATTGCTTTCTTGAGATAGGGGTCATGCTTTGATTTCTTACTAAGCATGTTTTATATGATAGATTTTGAAGTGAAGATGTTGGTTATGTGTTTATATGAAGAAAGCATGTTCAAAGATGATCGATGTTGGTTTTGTATACATATACTTAGTTACAAAATTGTTTAAAGAGCATGCTTTTGTGATAACTTGTTTTTTTGATATTATATATATATATACACACATGATGATGATGATGATGATGATGATGAGTATGTATGGTTAAATTGATAAAGTTGCAAAGCGCGCGCGTGCACACACACACACACACACACACACACACACACATATATATATATTAAGTTTAAAGATGCATGATTTCATTCATGGCATGGACATGGTTAGGAAATTGGGGTAGAATAATTATCACATGATTTGTGTTGGAAAGTTTATGAAAAGAAAGAATGTTTTAATGTTTTAAAAGGGAAAGGTTTTGTGAAAAAAATGGTTTTATGAACGACATCGGATTTTGCGAGTTCGGGGCTAACTCGACCTAGAGAGAGCGCATGCCAGATTTGGACGTGTAATATTGATTACTAAGCCCCAAATAGTTGCCGGATTTGGAACCAGGGATAATTAATCAATCTCACCTCGGTAAAGTCAATTAGCGATTTTTGGTGTGAGTTTGGATGGGTTAGGACCTTGTCAAGATGGTGTTGCATTCACATCATTATTGCATTCATATGGATAGTTTAGTCTTGTGTAGTATGTGTTATGAATGAATTATATTGATTATGGTTCTTGACATTTCCATGTATGATCCCGATTTCTTTTTTCCCCATTTTTCATTTGTCGACTCAAAAGAGTCCAAAGCTGATGTTTTAGTCATTTTCTATTAAGCTGTTGAGCTCATTACTTATTTTAACATTTTCAGGAAACCGGAGAAGATATGGCGAAAGACTTGCATCCATAGACTTAAACATAGTTAGAATTTCCATTTGTAAAAGCTATGTAATCATACCCATGTCAGCATCATTTTGTAATCAAACTCTTATGTATTTGTATATAATGTAACATATATGTTTTCGGTTTTCAAACGATGTATAAACGACCTATTTTGATGGATGTATATGTTGATGACATGTTCATGGACTTGTATTTTCATGTTCTTACACTTTAGGATGCAAATGGACTGGTTGGGAAGTGATCTATTCGATCACATTGCATTTGGGCCTAGCAATGAGCATTTTCCACGGATTTCTTCATTTGATCAATCAGATGAGGCCATCTGATCAATTAAATGACCATCTGATTAATCAAATTCCTCATCTAATTGGTTAGATGGTTCATCAACCTTGAAACCATTCTAGAAGGGCCATTTGATCGATTAGATGCCCCCACCTGATCGGTTAGATGGACTTGATATTGCACCTTGACCCCAGACTTTGGTATAATGACATATTTGTTCCTGGATTTCATCCTAGTCATTATTTGACCACAAGAAAGGACTATTATACCCTTTTAGGGTTTTGAACCATTAAAGATTGTACTAAAAGACTATTTTACCCTTTATGGGTTTTAAATCATTATTTAACCATATTAAATGACTGTTATGCCCTTATGAACCTAGAACTACTATAATGACGTGAAACGACTATAGTACCCTTATGTGTGCTTGGGTTTGGGTAAGGACCCAAATAGCATTACGGACCCTTCGGTTTGGGTCGTTACAAAATATGATTATATGCCTTCGCAAATCTAATTCACAAATAATCCTCGAGACTTCGCTTTTGACCCTGGCCTCCAAACACTCATTGGCAACCAAGACTGAGCCTAGAATATGACGCCCTCCAACAAAGGCTTTCTGGGATTCCAAAATCACCTCATCCAAGACTTTCCTAAAACGGTTGGCTAACACCTTTGCCAAAATCTTATAGACAACTCCCAGCAAACTAATAGGCCTAAAGTCCTTTGCCCCAACAACTCCACCCTTCTTAAGGATACGG